TTCCTAGAAAAATAAGAATTTTATGTGTACTAAACGTCCCTTGACATTCCCAACATTAGATCTCGGTAAAGTACAAATTTTTCGCATACAAACATACCCTAAAGACAATCTTATTTGACATAGGTATGTAACTATTAGTGGCCAAGTTGAGAACCCTTTAGTAAGTAAGTTGGCTTCTAAATGGGTAGTTATTTTATTTTATCTCCTTTAGGTTTTATGTGGAATCTATATAGGGGTTAAGTCGAGTCACACATGTATAAAGTGACTAACTCAATAAATTATAAAGTCGAATGTAAAATCCTTAGTTGATTATTGGAAGGATGCATAATACTTAGAGGATAGTCGATAAACTAATCTCATAGGAGGTTTAGTTTATATATGCTAAGGCTGTGATAAGCTTACACCCAAACTATTCTACCATAACAATAGTATTAGACTTTTATTGTTTAAGTGACGAAATTTGAGAAATCAATTTAAGTTGTATGCCTGACACTTTGAGAGACGTAATGTTGTCTATACTTGACTTGGTTTTGATAGGTCAGATGTTATGGTTTGGTAGGATATAACCACTTAAATTACTCACCTTGTTATAGGAGATCTCTGTAGTTGATATGCGTGACGACACATTAGTTGCTTATAATTTTCTCATGATGAGAATGTTGTTGGTTGAAGTTGTTAAGTTGTATCATGTAGTAAGTTGTATGTGATATAATTGGTGATGAGTTGAAAATGTATCAGGGGATAATTATTTATTGTTTTAAGTTGCTTAAATTGTTATTTCATGTTGTTATTATATGTTGAATTCTTTCATAATCTTACCTTTTATTTTCCTTGTGATTGGAAGTGTAATGATTATATTTAGTATGAAAGTAAGACAAGATTAACAGAATGATTGGGTTAGCTAGTGGAGGGTCATGCTACTGATGTTACATACTTTGATGTAACATATTTGTTGTATAGATGTTGGATTGATGATTAGAGATCTTTTGTTTATAGTTATGTAGATTATGTAAATTATATATGTGTACAAGGTGTATATGTAACCCCATAAGGGAATTTATGCTTTTAGTACTATATTTTCTACCCTATACACGTATAGATTGCTTGAATGATTAAGTAACTACTATTGTATGAGAACCATAGGATAGTTAACTATTGTTTGGTATATTTTTGTTGCATAATATTGTATTATATAGTGACTTGCCGGATTGTTACAAAATCTATATACATTTAGAATATACATTCAAAATATATTATATTATTAAATTAAAATATATAAAAGGCACAAAAATTAATATAAGTTATTATTATTATATTTTATAAAGATATGAATAAACAGTTTTTTATAGTATAATATTATTTATTATATTTTTAATATAAAATATAAAATTTAGATAAATAAAAAAATGTGATTTCTTTATTATGTAATATTAATTAGTTTATTTAGTAAATATTATATATGTTAAATTAATATATGTCTTAAACGTATTACTTTTTTTTTTTTATTAATCTAGAATTTTATATACGCTGAAAACATATAATTAAAGTAAAATATATGAATAAGAAGTTTTTTTTCTTATATATTACATTTATTAATTATAATAAAGTATGTACAAAAATAAAAATAAAGTGATTTTTTCTTTATATAGTATTAATTATTATTAAACAATATAATTAACATTAGTAATACGATAAAATTTTATATTAATTTAATGTAATATATTTACTA